TGTGGACAGCAATGAGGCATCTTCTTCCTTTTCTTTTGTCACACCTGAAGGATGGGTTGCCATCCAGAGGGAGCTGGATAAACTCAAGAAGTGGGGCCATGGGAACCTCATGAGGTTTAACAGAGTCAAGTGCAAGGTGCTGTACCTGGGTCAGGCCAACCCTGGTACCAGCACAGGCTGGGGATGAACAGCCCCAGAGCAGCCCTGCCCAGAAGGACTTGGGGGTGCTGCTGGCTGAGAGGCTGCACATGAGCCAGCCCTGGGCACTGCCAGCCCAGAGAGCCAAACGTGTCCTGGGCTGCATCCAGAGCAGTGTGGGCAGCAGGGCCAGGGAGGGGATCCCTCTGCTCTGCTCTGCTCTGGTGAGAGCCCACCTGCAGGGCTGCATCAGCTCTGGGCTCCCCAGAGCAGGGAACTGTTGGAGCAAGTGCAGAGGAGGGAAACCAAGATGATCAGAGGGACAGAGCACTTCTGTGAAGACAGAGTGAGAGAACTGGGTTTGTTCAACCTGGAAAAGAGATGGCTTAAGGGTGACCTAATTGGCCTTCCAGTACCTGAAGGGAGCCTACATGACAAAAAGACTTTTTACAACATCATGTAGTGACAGGACCAGAAGGAATGGATTCAAACTGAAAGAGTAACTTTAGATTAGATATTAGGAAGAAATTCTTTACTGTGAGGTTTGTGAGGCACTCAGGCTGCCCAGGGAAAACATGGATGCTGGAACCCTGGGGATGTTCAAGGCCAGGCTGGATGAAGCTCTGAGCAACATAGTCTAACAGGTGTCCCTATCCATGGTAGGGGGTTGAAACTACATTATCTTTAAGGTTCCTTCCAACCCAAACCATTCTATGATCTTTCCTAGTCAACTAAGTGGAATGAGAGGCAAAGAATATCACCCTTTATAAAGATCACAAGCTTCCTGAAAGAGGGAGAAATAAGTCTTTGTCTTCAGAAGGTGCCACTTGGTATTGCTTGGTTTAAATTAACAATAGCAGCATAAACTAGCCTAGGGGACAGAGTTTCTGCCTGGAAGCTGGTCACTAAGTTTGCAGGATGTGGGAAACCAATAATGGGGAGGGTGGAGGGAGAGGGGAGGAGGGAAAGAATGGTTTGCCATAAACCACAGCTGTAAAGAAACCCTTATACCATTAGATAGGGATAAGGACCTTATCCCTAAGTGCATCTTTCATTAAATCATAGGCCAGTAGTGGAAAGGGCCCAGTTGCATGGTTGAATGCCTTTAGACCATCTCTGTATCTGTCTAAGAAACCTAGTCCTACACAGGGGTGTTATAAAGCAGCCAAGTTACTGAGATCTTTAATCTTGGAAGTTGTTCTTTCCTGGAAACACACTGTGACATCCAAAGTGCCGTACCATATTCTTTCTGTAATTATAAGTGGCATAAGTGGCCTCTCAAATGCATTACTGTCATTTAGAAAATGGCAATTATTAATTAACAGTTTTCATTTGCTGTATTTCTTCTTGATACACCAGAATTCATTTCTAAGACAATCTATTTCATAATGAGTAAACTGTCTCATCTCTTCTATGTTGACTTGTTACATGATAAAGGATCTTGCATTTGTGTCTGAAGCCTCTCCAAGAGAGGACAAGAGACACTGAGGTTTGTTGTTTCCATCTTCACTTCTGGAACTGCATAAGAAGTTAACCAGGATTTAAGTTAATTCCCTATATGCAAAAGAAAATACTGGTAAAGCAGAAATCTGAAAGTCCAGGTTTTCTTTTACTAAACATAGTAATTTTATACAGCTTTTGACCAATATTTTCTACTGATTTTGAATGTAAAATATAATAGATATTATTTTTAAAGAATTAGAAGGCATATTTGCATCCTTGCACTAGATCCAAATTGCTGCTGTTACTCTAAACCACAATTAATGTAGATTATAGGCAGCCAGTAAGACCACAAAGTAATATAGTTTTCCAAGTGTGTAGATACCACACTGTTGACTCCATATGTATTGAAAACTGTATTTTCATGATTGACTTCATTGTCTTTTGATCACCTATTAGAGAAGACAAGCCAGTACTACAGAGATGCTCTTTTGTATGCCACTATAAACACTTGTAAGGAGGAAAAAACCTTTTCTGCACAGCGGAGCTGTCTCTAGAGTTATGTTCTGGTCACTGTGATACTCAACCTGCCCTGCATTGGACTTAAGAACATATTGAAGACATCTGCCTCCTAAGACATTGCAATGGATCCTCTTCATGGGATGGCTGTAGTGATTGCATTCACAAAGAAGCCTGAGCCAGACCTCCTGAATCTTTGCTCTGGTGAGGACATTCTAGTCACAGATAGGGAAAGCTTCAGAGCAGCACAGAAAGATAAGATAAGGATCTGTGAACTGAAAAAATGAAAATTTGATAGCCAAAGCAGAGATATGAGACATCCCAGGACCCAGCAGAACAGAGCTGTGATATTGCCAGAGGAGTGGACAGGTATGTTTGTCTTTTATTACTTTTGGGCACAGTCCATCTTTCTCACTGAGGGTACTCATGTCTGTTGGTTATATGGAAAGGTGAAACACCAAGCAGCATATCCCAGTTCACACAGTGGTAACAGGGATGGGCTTTATGTAAGTGCAGTGGGATTGCTAAAGCCCATCCAATTCAAAGCCCAGGGGACAAAGACTCATTTAGTCTGCAAAGAGCATTCTTTGCTGAGGTAAAAATGTACGTTCTGTACTCACTGAAGCAGTGTTCCTCTCAGAGCTCTACAGTGCACTACAGCCTGAAAAACAAGGTGTTCAAGTTCAGGTCTAGGCCTTTTGCAAAACTGTAATAGTTTGCCACAGAGAAACAGGGGCTGCACAGATGGTTGTTTGATCATCTGTGTAGGATCTGCCTTATGGCACTGCAGAATAGGGTTTTTTCACTCTTTCTAACCATTGATCTTTGTTAAAGAGACAAACTGTGCTGGGATTGTTTTCATCAGCTTTTGTTTGTTTCTGAAAACAACAAAAGGGAACTGTTGAGAGCTGTATTCAGTGTTGGCAATGAAGATCCCACTTTTTCTTTCCCATTGTCTTCTTCAATTTGCTAGCTAGTAACAGCACAGTAACTGCCCTCTGCCTTCTCACACAAGTGTCCTGAAACATTTTGGTACATTTGCACCCAGGAGCGTTACTCCTGTTTAATCTGTTACTAAGCCCCATGTAGCTAATATAGTTTGTTGCTGAATTATAGCTGAAACACCCCTAGAAAAGTTACTTCCATTTTAAAAAGAATTCAGAGCCTGTCTCACAAATCTAATTCTCAAATGTTGCTACAGAAATGGAAGGCTGAACAGAAAAGCAGTAACTGAAATGTGTTTGATTTAAAAAATTATTGTTCCCATGAGTATACCTGTGTCTATACTGGTTGGACACCCCAGGAGTCTTCACCCCTGATTTTCCATTGCCATTTTGTCTCCTTTGCCAAGAGGCACAAGGCTTGGTCTTTCTGCCACCCCTTCCTGTCACTGAGGAGCAGCAGTGAACAAGGGCTAGTAAGACAGTCCCATTGCAAGGGGCTGCCAGGGTTAATCCTGGGTGGTTCTGATGTGCTCCAAGTGCCACACAGAACTTTGAGTATGCAAGTGTTCTAGCTCAAGCCTTTGCAGCTCCTCCTCCTTGTTTCCCTGTTTATTAGCAAGGAAGCCAGCCCAGGGCTCAGGAGGAACAATGACCAAAGAACAGACTGCAGCTTGTAAACCAAAACCTCCCTTGAGGCTGCTACTAAAAGGAGATCAGAGAGAATTCCTATGCCAATAGGCATCTGGATTTCTCCCACACACACACACTCTCTTGCAGCTAGTAAATTTCTGGTGCTGTAGTCATAATGCATTTATTTGTTCCCTCCCTGGGCAGGTGGCAGGGAAGCCTGGGCATGGAGAGGTGCACAGGCACAGCAATACTGTTGTGCTGCAGGGCTGATCAGAGCTTTCATCATCACACCAATCACACGTGTCAGGGAGTCCCAGAGATGAAAAGGATAAAGCACTGGGTAGTGCCTCTATCAGGGTATGTGGGCCCTGGCCAAAATGGCACACAGGTTGGCAGGCTGCCTTCAGTGACCCACCCTTGCTAACATCTACCAGCTGGTGATGGTTCAGGAAGGGCTGTTTATGGTTTATTAAGACATTTGAGTTTACACAGTTTGGCAGCCTCACATGAGCTATGTGGAAGCAGCCACTGTTGTGAAGGGCTTGATGGAAGAGCTGGATTCTGAGCTGGCTGTGGAGAGCCCTGGCCACAAGGGATTAACCAGCTAGGTGTCATTTTACACTCAGTTGCTGGGGACCAGGAAATGGGAGGAGACAGGGACGAACCTCTGTGGTCTCTAGAACAGGACTTTCAGTAGCTGTGTTTTGGCAAATCAGAGACAGCCTCTGAGTCTCATGTGGCATTCAGCACCAGAGATTTTTACCTCTGGGGCTATCTATGGCTGCAAAAGCCCATTTAAAGGACTACATTGATTTCTTGCCTGGGCAGCATCTGTAATCTTTTTTATGAGCATGAAATCAGTACATGAGAGGAAGGGTGTGTTAAATACATGGATGTACAGGTCTGTACTGGCAGACCATATATATCTTCAAATGGACATACAACATTTGTCAGCTGTGGCAACTGCGTTGCCTTGGATATTTAAACAGTATTGTTGAAAGTGTTTTATGTTTGAGGGGAGCTTTATATGAATCTATCAAAAGCAGATGCCAGCAGTGATGTACATGTCTGAAGGACTAGGTTGGAACGGGGCTCATTTACACCAGGTACAGTTTGAGGGTAATAAGAAAGTTCCATTTTGGAATTTTCTTGCTGACCTAAATTCTATCTGTTCTTTTGAAGAAACATTTTGGAAAGGGTAAAAATTTTAGACTGAGTATGCCACAGCAGTAGCAGTTTAAAACCAGCAAATCATCTTACCCTCCAACAAAAAACTTGCTTATGAAAAAGTTAGCATCTCCCCCCACTGTAGTAAACCCCACCCCCAAATATTTATTTTTTACAAAGTTTTTGAGATTACTATTTTTTAAGTCTTGGCAGGTGAGACCAAGTTCAGGTCATCATGCAGAACAGGTGCAGACACCCCAAAGCACCTCACAAACCACAACAGACAAGAGGTCCTCAGGGTGTGTCAGATCACAAATGAATAGGCCCAGTATTCAGGTACCCACAGATGCTCCTGCTCTGACCCTGAAATCATCTCTTAGAAACTCCAGGAAGCTAAAAGAGCTGAATGGAGACTTCAGTCACTCTGAAAATGGACTCAGCACCCTCTTTCCTTGTATTTGCCCACCCTCGGTAGGCTGACTGGGAGCCTTGCAGTTTGCATTTGGAACCCAATAGCCAGGATCTGTCAACTGAACTTAGAGGTTTTTGCAGACACAGTTTCAGTTGCAGGACTCCTGGAGCACAGCTCTGAGGAACAAAAGTCTTAAATTTATCTCTGAGCACTTCTCTTAGCAGCTTCCCTGCTTGGTGCATTTTCCTTCTCTAAGGAAACCTTCAAAAATTCCTCCTACAGGGAAAACCTTTAATACTTCAGGCTAATGGGGAGGGCTGAGGTCTTAAGATAGCTAAAGCAAGAATAGAAAACATCTCCCCTTTTCCATTCTTCCTTTCATCTGCTTTCTCATTCTCTTGCTTTCCCATCTCAACCACCTAGCATTCAAATACACTGCAGTTCTTCCACATTATCCTTTTCTTCTGCACCAACTGTCCAGCCATTTTGGAGAGTGTGGCCTTTGTGTCACCAAAGTACTTCCTAGAAGGAACATTACACTGCCAAGACGACCAAGGAGTGTTCCAGAAGAAATCCCCAAGGGCTGCCAGACTCTCAAGGTTTGGCACTTGGCCCTCAGCATGCGTAGTCTCTGACCCCCAGTTCTCTTTGTGTTAGCCTGGGAGCAGGAGAGTGGGTGCTGACAGTTTTTTCCTTGGCTTTGGGTGGGCCAGGGGTTCTTTCAGCTGCACTTGCAGGATTTCACCACCATGTTGGAGAGCTGCTCCACTTTGGGGGTCCTCCCAACATAGTACAAGATAGTGAGTGGCTCCAGGTCCTGGGGAACACAGCAGGGCGAAGCAGATGCCTCAGGGTTCAGCGTGTTATATAAACCCAGCACCTGCAGGAACAAAGGAAGTGTCGTGACAAGGTCAGGAATACATTTAAATTGGCTGAGGACAGGAAGGGGCTGCCAAGTCAACAAGTCTTGAGGTGTTTGCACTAGACTCATCAGAGGGTATTTCCCTGAGATGAGTAATACTCCCCTGTCACTTCCTGATCATGGCCTGCTTCTAAATGGTCTCACCTGCCCTGGCCTGACTCTTAGGAGTTTTTTGTTTTTTGTTTTTTTTCCTAATGGTAATACCCTTGCTCTCTGTGACTGATGCCTGAGGGTTGAAGGAGTGCAAGTAGTCTCCTTTCATCTCTAATTTGGTACAGCAGTGTGTCACAATTTTTGCTTTTAACAAGGTTGGGTGTAACCAGCCTGGGGCCATGCTGTCTTGGATTCTATTAAAGAAACCAGAAGAAAGACTATCAGTGCTGCTTATTTCAACCAACATCTCCAGATAGCACTGGATGGATGCCAGTCCTCTCAAGTATCCACAATTCCCTCCCAGCTTTGAACTGTCTGATGCTTTGTCCCTCCACTCCATCCTCCAAGTCATGACACTGTAAAACTGGAGCCAGAACAGTCCTGTGGGACCCCACTGGATTCCGCCTCCCAGCTGGCCCCAGCCCACAGATGACTCTACACTACAACCATGTAACCACTACAGAACAGCTGCCACCTTTCCTGCCAGAAGTGACCACTTCTCAGCAGTGAGCATGATCTCACCTGCACTAGTGTGGTCTCTTCAGTGCTTATCTGGTATAAATGACAGGGTCTGGCACATTCTATTTGAAGTACTTTACAGTCTTTGGAGATGAGAGGTGCTAAGGATACATCCTGTTCTATCATCTAGACCCACGGAATCACTATTTTTGTGGTAGAAACTCTCTGGGATCCTAAGCAAAGTAGCCCTGGCTGTACCACAGGGCTACATGTGCTCTGAGTCGCTACTCAACAGCAAGTTAGACTGGTGAGTTTTCCTAAGTGTTGCCTGCAAGCTGTCAGCAGCTATATTGTTCTAAAGTTTTCTTTGATCACTTCACTGACCTTAACGCTTGCTCATTTCCTTTTTTGTTTAAGATCATTAGGAGTCATTCTAAAGTCTCCTTTCTCTCACACTGATTCAGTCCAGTTACCTTCTGGAGAGCTTCTCAGGACAACCAGATGGTAAAGCTACATGCCCATTACCCTTTCAAAGCTGTTAATTCCCTTGCTTTGTCTTGTGGTTACTGCCCAGCATCTGTTCACTTCTTCATTCCCACAGATCAGCTGTTCCCACTGATATTAGTCCTTGAGCTTCATTGAACCTTACTGCTATGCAGACTGTCAAAAAAATGTTAGAATCTTTTCTGAAATATCATCCTTACCTAGTTATTTGTTCTTCAGCTGAATCTGTTTTTTCCAGTGACTTTTTTAGTGAAATCTGAAGTTAGTTTGCTAGTGAGCTGTTGCATTATCTGGATTGCTGCCTTTTGACTCTTGTGGGCAGAAGCACACAGGATTTTCCTCTGACTTTTCCTGCTTCAGCAGTGGACTGTCTGATCCTTAATCTGTCTCTCTCAATACTTCTCCCATGCCTGTGTTATTCTATTACTTTTATTTTTTTTCTGCTCTAGCCAGGCTCAGACTGTATTCTTCCCAAAGGCTGACCAGAGGTTGTGCTTAAGTTACCTAGAGACATTTGCTTTCTGCCAAGTTTTCACTCAAAAATCTCACTGCCTAGTCTCCTCCCTGCTGTAGGTCAGGTAGGATTTATGCAGCTGGAAAGGATACCTGTGAAAAAGGATATCCTACTGAGTGGCTGTATTTACTTCTGGAAATGGACATGGATTTCCCTACACTTTTGAGCTATAGCTGCCCCTTTAGGAGCAGATGGCAGGCATATGCCATTGCACAACAGTTTTTCATGACAACCTGGCACAGAGTGTAGAAAAATCCTCTGTCCAGTGCAAACTGCAGGAGAAATTTAGGAAGAAGATAATTACCAGAACTGATGTTTGATGTGAACAATTCAGTTAATACTATGGCCACTGCCAAGTAAGTACCCTAAAACCATCAGTTCTGCTCTTTCATATCTTATCTAAGAGACAACAGCATCTTCCTCATCAAGATTTGCCTGAAAGCAGACTCAGTACTGACTCCAAAGCAAGCACATTTTCCCTGCTGAACCACCCAGGCTTTTTTCTGCAGTTTCCTTGGAAGGTTTTTCACAAATACTGATCTGAACTGCTTATGCTGCTTTGAAAAGACTGGATATTGATCAGACTTAGGGAGGAAGGCAATCATAGCCACAAGCCCTGGCAGGATAATCTAGTGGATGTACCGTGCTGTGAGTGGTGTCTGCGCTGCGGAGGTACGGACAAGGGCCTGAACAAAAGTTAGCAAAGTAGCCCTTGGGCTCGTGGACCCATTTCCAGCCGAGGTCCTGTCGGAAGTCGATGTACAGAGGACGCACACAGCAGTTCTCCTCCAGGTTCCTGAAACACAGTAGTGAAGCACAGTGAATCTAAAGGGGGGCCTTACATGCAGTTGCGAGCTGCAGCTTCCTGAGCAGAAGGACTCGTAGCAGCAGTGCTGGTGGCATGTGGTGGCTGCGTGTGCCAAGCACCAGGAGCAGCACAGCCAGGCAGCGGTGGCGGCTCAGGGGCACTGCTGCTTTTCCCACCACCCCTGCCAGGCAGGACCCAGCTGCTCCAGCAACTGCCATGGGGCTGCTGCAGGTCCCGCTCAGCCTGTGCTCCTGGAAGCACAGCCTTGTGGATCTCTTTGAACCAGTGGCTTTGCCAGAAGCACAGAACAACTCTGCTGAGCTGGCCAGTGGCCCTTGTGACACAACCCCTGGAGGGCTCTGCCTTTTCCGGTGGCATGGAGTCTTACCCGGCCTGCCTGCCCCAGGCATGGGGTCCCAGCTGGATCCCTTCTCACTTACCGGAAACAGTAGTTGGTATCCAGGGCCCGTTTCTTTCTTTGGCTTCCCAACACGGGGCTCTCCAGTCGATGTGGGGGTAACATCATCAAGATGAGGTGGGGATTATGCAAGTCTTTCTGCTTCTTCAGGCGGCCCAGGTCCCCGCGGCCATAGTCATCCTCACTGTCAATGCCTTCAAAAAAGAGGATCCACAAAGAAGAAATCAGCAATGTTGCAAGAATGCAACAAGACCTTTCAATTTAACACTCTCATGCTTGCTCTTGAACCAGGTTCAGGCAGCATGTCTACTTCTTCCCTCACAGAGACCCCTTTATTTCTGGTAAATTTGACTGTTGCAGGCCTGAAATAGAGGCTTATGGGCCACCTGTTTTACCATTTGCAAACTGCTGGTGGGGCCATTAATCCATCCACTCACTCCTGGCTTGAATCCCAGGATAGGCAGGAAGATGAATGGTTTAAAGAAGATGTCAGATAATTGGCACTCTGCGGAACAGCCTCAGAAATGGAGCCTGTGGGGGCCAGTGGCTGCTGCCCAGGGCTGCAAGCCAGGAGGTTCCTAGTTCTTAGGCCAGCCAAGCCACTGAGTCTCTGAGCCACCTCACACAGGATGCCTAACTTCCTTGTGTTTCAGTCACTCTAACTGCAAAGTAGAGCCTCTGTGGAAATCTGAGAAGGCATCAAGTTGAACTTCCCAGAGAGACACTGAAATATAAAATTACTCCTTTCTGCAGACACTCATGCAAACCCACCCAGCCTGCCCTTACTTCTTTTTGTAACCTATGTATATAGTGAATATACCCATAGAATGAACACACAAACCCAGATATGTTTTAAGACAAATGTTACACAATGTGAAGTGCTTGAATACACAAAGCAAGACCTCATTTTTTTCTTTATATGCTTGAGGCTTTCCCTTCCCCAACAACCTCCCCTAACCCAGCTCTTTATCACCTTTGAACTTGATCTCCAGGACTTCATGCAAATTCTCCAAGATGTCCCCGTTGGACTGAAAAGTATGGCAAGGACAGTGTATGCTAATTTCCAGGCCAAGGTTGGACTCTGCAAAGAAGATGACTCCGTGAGAAACAGTCTTTCTCAGCTGGGACAGCTCCTGGCATAAAGAAGTTTTAAGGAAGTTTTACACAGCTGTGCTAACCCCTAGACAATGAGTTGGTCTCCAAGTCAGGAGTGTTATCAGATTTGAGGAACAGATGCTGCCTTGGGAAGAACAGAAAGAAAAATCCAGTAGCTTCAGCTTTGCCAAAAGGCTTGTTCTTGCTAAAGGGAACTTTCTGGAGAGGTAAGAAGGGTGCTTCTTGTTACTTTTTTTAGGCTATTCAGCATCCAAAAACATTTGTGAGCTTCAAGAAGCTTCCCTGGGAAAACAAGTATTTTGAAGAGCTGGCTTTTGGTATCTTAAATCAGTTTCACAATCCTCAGTACCTATTATCTGGCTTCTGCTTAGTGTCTGAAGGAGAAATCTGAAAATAAGCAAGTTGGATATGGACAAGTAATTTTACTGGAAGCATTCTTCTCAGCAGCTGCAACCTCCTGTTTTATTGAACTGCTAGCAGTCTCAATCACACAGACTTTCCAGAGGCAAATCTACTTTCATAATAACTTCCTGGACCAGTCATGCTGTGTGGGCCTGACTACAGGAACATAAGACTCTTATGAAAGCTCCTTTTTTATGTTGTGCCATGAATTAAAACATCTGGCTTCCTGGGGCATTGACAAGGTGCCTAGCACCATATATACTCTGTGATGTCTTGTCAGCTAGTGTGCCTGCCCAGAGCTTGCTGCAGTTCCAGCTCTGAGCTTCAGCCATCAGGGCACAACTTAGATTGCTTGAAATAGGAGGAGCCTGCAAGCTCACAGCTTACCCTTCCAGGGAGCAGCTGCTTGCCAGTACCTGCATTCCAGTCTTCAGTGGCACCTAGCTTCTATCTGTGTAGGCCAGTCCCGCTGTGAGTGGTGATGCCTTGTGCTCCAGCTGTGAATGGGGTCAGTGTTCTTGCTGGGAACTGCCCTGTAACTATCTGTTGGGCTGTCCAGCACTGGCAGAGGTGTGTTCTCTGCAGTGTTAAAGCCTCCAGCTGTCTAGGTGTGTCAGCTTCTGGTATTTCCTCACGTTTATACCTGACAAGCTGTACACAGCTAAATAAACCAGGATCCTTGCTGCTTTTTCCTATACTACATTTGCTCCAATTCACATCAAAATGTAAGCAAAGCATTTGTCATTTTCTATGATCATTTAGACAAGCAGAGGGGTCCCCTCTGGGCTTAGCTGTAAAGAATTTCCTCCAAGGAATAAATCCTTCTTCTGACTCAGCCCACACAGCTACATGGTGGGGCCTCCAGGAAAAGAGGCAGGAATATAGCAAATGTCAGACATTGAGGAAGCTCTCTGGAGGAAAGCTTGTTCTCAGACTGAAAGAACCTGTCCTCTCTGTGAACCAAGCTCCTGTAACAAGGGGAGCAGAAAGATACTTCTGTGAGCATTGATCCCCATTTCTGTGGATGCCTTGCCACACAGTGCAGCTAAGACCCCTACCTCTGTGCAGGAGCCACTCACGCACGGTCTCGGTGACATCGAAGGACAGCCACTCAGGGGAGCCCCGTGTCTGCACATTCCTGCCGCTGAGGTACCGCTGCTTCGCTATGTGCTCATCTGGCCGAAGGATCTGTGTCAGAAGCAGTGGTGGAAAAAATCAGCCAGTGCCATGCAGAAGGAAGGGATAGCCTTTAGTCTTTTTTTTTTCCCCTTAGCTTGCTAAAAACTAATTTAGAAAGTTGGTCTTGGCAAGTGAGACACCAGGAATACCCTGGGTCAGGTGAGAAGGACATGCTTCACAACCAACTTGAACTCCAGAGATCTACACAGTGCTTATTTCTGTATCCTAAGCAGCCCACCTCTCTCAATTGAGAATGGTTTAGGGACACATAGAGAGGCAGAAGCACGTGGCAATTCATTTAATGGATGGGTTTGTTTTTGTATGCAGCTGTGCAATATGGATCTGGATATCAGAGTAGAACCACCAGTGGTAAATGCAGCATCTGGCCACAAGTCACCTGCCCAGGAAGCCAATTTATCGAGTTCTCCCTTTGGCATTTTCAGGTGTCCTACATTCCAACTTTTGTCAAAACACAAAAGGGCTGTTCAGGTTTGGAGACCTCTGCCTCTGCTCTGACATCTCTTTCCACTTCCAGACAAACAACCACAGCACATTCAAGGTGTTCCTTCCTGCAGACCCACAGACCACTGAACCTATGGAGAAGCTCTGAGAACACCTCCTTGTCAGTTGTGTCATCTGGTAGAGAATTGCTCTGACCTTTGATGCTGGATTCCAGGAAGTCCTCAAGAAGTGCCACCCAAACACAATTTTAGCTGCACTCTTATGGAAAAGTGGACAGACATGAGCCTGTGGGAATGTGCTGCCTGGATGCTAAGCTGTATCATTAGGTGGTCCAGTTCAGCCTATTACCACTTCCAAGCCCGAACCATACCTTATTCTGTCAGTCCCTAGGTTAAAAAAAAACTCCAGATAAGTACAGGTGGCCTGAATTGTGCTTCTGGGGAGCTACTGCTGAAGGGAACATAGAAAGCAAGCACTATTTTTCTAGTAAATCAGTGACAAGACAGAGAGCTCCATCCATTGAATTGGTATTAGCACCAACTGTCTGCAAAAGTCAAAGGAGTAAGACTGCCAAGGGTCCTACACAAGATGTGACAGAAGGGTCAGAGCTGCTCCACTGATGAGGGGCTCCCCTTCCAAGTGGGAAAAGGGCAGCACCACATTGTAAAAGGAAAGGAAGGTGACTGTATCACTGCATATGGTGGAAGAGGCCTGGGTTACAGCATGCACTTTCTTCTCTCTTCTGTGGGCTTCCACATATCAGCTGAGACAACCATTAAGGAGCCAAGCTATTCTGGGCTCAGACACTGGGGAAGGTGATAAGAATACTCACCTGGAAGAGCTCAATGCGCTGCTCACTGCGTTTGGAGCTTGGGTTGGGCACGCGCAGCACCCGAAACTCAGCCCGGAATAGGTTGGTGCTGTTCTTCTCTGCTGACGACACATTAAAGCGGAACACATTGGAGGTGACACCTTTTGGACAAATGCCCAACTCATCTAGGAGAAAAAAAATAGAGAAACACTGAGAATCACATCTCTGAGGGGCAGGATCTCAAATAAGTATTGTTTGAGAAAGAGCTTTCCAGTAGAGACTTGTCATTCAAAAGTCTTGCCACCTGTGAAGCATGGCTACCTAGCTCAAGATAACACAGGATGAATTCACTCAAATTTGGTCTACATTGCAACATTTTGCAAACATTCCCCCTACTGCCATCATTACTTCAATGCTACAAGATGAAGAATCAGTAGAGATCAACCACAGTATGTTTATTATTATGTCTTCCAACTCTGCTCATCAAACGTTGCTAATACTCATCAGTTGGCTGCATCCAAAATGACAACCCCAGTCCAGGCAATGGGACAATCTCACTTGCAGTTAGTGGGGCCTATTCCCAACAGCTAGGATGCTGTTACTCTGCTCATGATGGAGACACGAAGCTACATACAAAGTGATCCCATTGCTGCTGAATCTTAGTTTTACAAATCTTGACATTGCCTCCTAGAATGGAAGCCACCCAGTGTCAAAAACCACAAAGCATGAGGTGTCAAAGACTCTTTATGGCATTGATTATCCAATGTGTACTGAAAGAACTGGGGTTTAAAATTGGTTCTCACTCATGAACTGGAGAAGGACTTCATTAATAGTACTGGGCCTGTGGAGATACACATGAGCAGGAAATAATACAGCAATTTTCTGCTTCCATGTGTGCCTGCTGAACAGAAAAACCCATTTCACAGATGCCTCAAAAGAGAGGAGGTAAAATCTTTAATGTCCAAAACAGAGTCCTCAATAGCAAGTAAGACTTTCTTCAAAGGGACCATTTTGGTCTCACGGAAGTCTTTGTTGTTGCTGTCATTTCTCTCCTATTGACCTTGTTAGCCTTCAAGTCTCTAGGATCGTGAAAGCTTCCTGCAAACAAGACACAGCAGTTCTTGCTCCATGTCCACATGCAGGTTTGTTTGCAGCCCTGCAGAGCCTTTCAGATGACCTCTGACTGTTGTCCAATGCAGCAGGAGGCTCTTATATCTGCTGATATTTAAGTTGCTTCTAAACAAATGAACAGAAAGAAACAGAAAGAAAAACTATCACCTGTTCCCAGGCATGGTTCCAGTCTTTGACAAATAGGCTAGAAGCCCTAGCTGGAACAACCTTCAAGTTACATTCCTGACGTCCTGCAGGCCCTTTTTTTGATCTCACCGTAAGTATCTCCCCTGAGAAACAGCTTCTGAAAATGGGATAGTGTGAAACAGCACCTGACTGCAGAGGTTCACCTCCCATGCCAAATTCTGATTTCAGCAACACTGATGTACACTCATATCAATGGAGATTAAGGTCTTCCTCTTGTCTTACACACAAATTCAGCAAGCAGGACCCTGCCAGTTTTCAAGGATGTGTTTTTAGGGTGCTGAAATTTTACTCAGTAAGCTAATGACCAGATGCTGACACTGGGCTTTAATTGGAGGAGGTTTTGTCATTACTACTACTGAACAGATCAGCATTCCCACACAGGAAAGTCTCTAGCTGTTATTGAAGAGGTGGCTGTTCACACATCCCAGGAGACCAGATCCCACTGCAGGCACGAGCTGGCCTGCCCAGCCCAAAAACCCTGAAACACAAGGAGTACCCCAGCCACACACATACTCCTACTGTGGGGACTCCAGCCCTGTGACCAATTCAAGGTTTGATGCTGCAGAAAAGCCCAGCAAAAACCCAAGTTCTCATTAAGCGCCCAAAGACATGTTCTAGCTGAAGTATAACACTGATTACTGTTCTGTATCCTAGAGCTTGGCAGATACTGTGTTTCAATAGCCCCTGAAGCTGCTTTGCACATTTAGCCCTATTAATAGTGCTGTTAACAGCCTGCCCTTTCATTTCAGACCTGACTGCCTGGCCGTAAGGGGTGTCCCAATTATTGTTAGAAATGCCTTTTTGCATCAGACCACTGGTCAGTCCAGCTCAGTATGTTTCCTACAGCAGTGCTTTTTCTGACAATCTCTTTAGAAGCTGCAAATATGGTCCTACAGCACAGAGCTGATGAAAGACACCTAATGTGTTATCATCTCCTTAATGCTTTTGGCTAAATTAGACAGCCATGGTGATAAGACATTGCATCTATTGTAATTCACCTGCTGTGAAAGAAAGAGCCACATTGCTTTCTACCTGCTTCACTATCAAGGTGCTGCTCTTGGGAGACCTTCCCAATGAAAACAGTAATAGCTCTTTTCCCTTCCCTAAAAGTGTCATGTTCCCTTTGTACGCTGGGAACAAGCCCTCTGTGATGCAGAAATGGGGCTGTGTTCAGTGTTTCACTCCAAGCCCTGGGAGGCTGGAGTCTGTTTCTCTTAGCACGGGGCTCAGGATAGAGGTCTCACTCCAGGAAACTTGACAGCTTTGTGGCAAAGTGCTTTTTTGCACGAGGTCACAGGCAAAGGGAGCAAGGGGATTTTTCAGGGAATTTGGTCCAGACCCAGCTGAGGTGTGTTAATCACACTGGAATCCAGACCTGTTCACCACCAGCACAGAACAAAGCCTGGAGGCAATATTCCTGCAAGCTCTCCCAGTCCACAGCTCTCAGTGGCAGTAATCAAGCCTGGAGACCAGGACCCTGGACACCCTGTGCACCATGCCAGGCTGTCTGGTATGACACAGCCTCACAACTGGACCCAGCTATTACTGTGGAGTCACACCCAGAGCTGTTCACTGCACCAGTGATGAGACCAGCAGCCTCTTTGTGTGGATAATGTAATAGAGAGAGCAGGTTCTTTTGGGACCTTCCACCTTCCTACCACTGCTCTACATGAGATGCAGGCTCACCACATGCTGCTGGATCCAGCAGAAACAGCTGCTGTTTCTGGCAAGCCCCAGGAAGGCTGATGGCTGTGCAGTTCGATGAGAAGGAAGGGTAGGCTGGCTGTGAGCAGGTATTGCCTCATGCTGTATTATACCTCTGAATCACCAAGGTGTTTTGTGCCAAAGCTGCATAACTTTAGAGAAAAAAGTTGATCCATCTGCAACTCTGCAGGTGGCAGGTTTGGAGGGAATAGATGCTTGGCCCTAGTGACCCATGACTTTAATTGCCTTGTCTCTCAAGCTGCCTTGGAAAATGGCATCTGTTTTTCCCTCAGGAAGGTAAGCAAAAAGCTATTTTCAGGACTGTTGCAGATGCTTCCCAAGCTTGAACATAACCAAGTCAGATCTGATCACGTGAGTTTTATGAGATCCCTGAAGTGAATGGCTGGTCAAAAGTAAGTTATTCTCTGAAAGAAAATCCCTTTAAATTGAGGCAGTGTACCTGAGAGGCACAGGGGAAAAGACCATTCTTTGAGTCACCAAGCAGCTCAGAGAAGGGATGGAGAACTTGGCTCTCTCATCTGCTATTTTTGCTCCTCAGCTCTCCTCACTTTTGGGCTTTGCATCTTTGAAAAGGATGACTTCTCCGAGCCAATATGACAGTTGACTAATAGTCTGGAGCTAGAACAGTTTGTGTGAGTGTGCACACATTTCAGACTTGTCTGTATCATCACTGCAGTTCCTTCAATGGAGTAGTCCTCCCCTTCCCCCCCCCCCCCCAGGAGACAGGCTTTGGCTCAGAGCATGCTCTTAGATCACCACCTGGCACAGTGACAGAGTCATGGGAAAGTTGAACATCAGCCACTTCTGAAGATGCGGGGCCAAATTCAGCCATGGTGTAAGCAATGAAACTCCCCAGGTTTCAAAAAGAGCATGTCTCTTGCCACCACAATCTGTCTGGAGCTAGTCTCCCCCGGTGAGACCAAATTACAAAGTTCCCTCTTTCTCTGGGTGGTGGCATCTACACTACCCACTCCCAGAAATTTAATCTCAGCACTACTTGGTCTTTTGAACCTAGTATCCTATGGGCACATGGCACAGGATCGTTTCTACAGGAATTCTCCCAAAGCCACAATCCCTACTCATCACTCCTTTTCATGCACTGTTTCTTCATTCCACTTTCCCCTCAATTTTAGCCAAATCCACACCCCTAACTTCATTTGCCACTGTTGTGCTTTGTGTTTTCCCCACCTCCTTCCTCCCAAAATGCATAGTGTGGCTGTACTATTTTGCAGACACTTGGTTTTCCCATAATATATGTTTATAGTTTCACAAATGACACTTCAGTAGATCAAAACCGCTGAAATACAGGTAACCTTTGCCCTTTCTGTTCCTTGAATCTCAGTGTCTGCTGAGCTAAGAGCTAATCATATAACCATATGGAATGCAGTCTGCTAGAGATTAAGTAAAATTTGTTGCATTACCAAATTGTAGCTTATTCCAGCTCATCATACGTCAAGATTAACATAAACCTGGCAGAGTAACTGCATTCTGTGGCTGCCTCCACCAAGTCACAGCTCCTCCCCAAAACTGCTGGTGTTCAAATCTTGTCCCCGGGGTGGCACAACATCACAGGAGAACACCCTGGATAGTGGTATGACCGCATCTTCCAATTCTAAGGAATCCCAAACAAACCAAAATGACTGCTTGTGTCTACATGTGCTCAGCATCTGCAATCTGCTTTGAGTTCATGTCTGCTCAGTCTCTGTCTTTGTATCTGCTCAGCTTCTGCACCTGAATCTGTTTAGTGTCCACATCTGGGCTTGCTCATCATCTGCTTCACACCTGCTCAACATCTGTCATGTTTCCTCAGCGCCTGTGTTCCCTTGGGGGTCCCTTTGGCATCACTGTCTGCTTTACACCTGCTCTGCATCCCTGTTGTCTTCTGCTCGCTCTCTGAACGCTCACACTATCTGAGTAACACCTTCATCAGTGTCCTCCAAGCAGCAGTCTCTTCAGCAAGCACCTCTCCACCTTCTGACTGCCGGCGCGGGTGCTGCACGGACCGGGCAGTTGCCGGTATCTCTGCGGCAGTCGCTGGAGCTTCAGCGGGGAGGAGGCCGAATACCTGCTGTCACCCAAACAGCAGACCTGCGCTGTCTCCCCGCCCGGTGCGCAGCATTCACCCCGCCACCCGCACGGCTTGCCGCCTTGTCCTGATGTCAGGGCTCTAGGCACGGGCTTCTAGGCACGGGCTCGGCTCGCCGCTGCCGCCGGGGCCTGGGCCGATGCCGCTCCGGGACCCCGCCACCCACCTTCCCCACTGCCGGCCAAGCCCCGCGCCGTGCCGAGCGCCCCCCGCCCCGCGGCTCCCGCTCACCTCCGTACCGAGCGCGGCCGGGCGGAGACGCGCCCTCCGCCCCGCCGGGGAAGCGGCCCCTTCGGCGGGGGCCCGGCGCCCCTCGGCCCCGGCTGGCCGTCCCTCCCCCGCGCCCGGGATCCCGGGCACTCTGCCCCGCGGGCGCGGCACCCCGGCCGGCACGGGGGGAGTCCCGCACTTACTGTGTTCGGGGAGGCCCTGGATCATGTCAAATTTATGAATCTCTTTGGCATAGTATTCTGACTCGGTGTTGTCCTGAGAGCAGCTTTCTTCCTTCTCCTCCTCCATCTCCTCCAGCAGCTCCCGAGTGCTGTTATAGAGGGCCAGGATCTGGTAGGGCACATGGGCCGGCCCCGCGGTCTCCGGCGGGCTGGTGAGCCGCAGCTTGCTCAGGATCTGCCCTCGGATGGCCTCTACCCTCTTCTTCTTGATGTGGTCCAGGTCCAAGGTGGTGCAGGACGACAGCGAGAGGCTCACGGTAGCGAAGCTCAGCAGGGAGAGCAGCACCAGAGCCCTTTGCACGTACATCTTCATGTGTGAGGAAGCGGCGGCGGGGGCCTCCGGGAGAGACCCCCGAGCGGCGGCGAGAGGGCGCGGGGAACCGGGCGGTGTGCTGGCGGCAGCCTCCCCAGAACCCGCGGGCTGAGGCTTGGCGAGGAGGTGCATGAACTCACTGCGCCGTGCGCGACTCAGGACTTCCAGGAAGAGCTGGCAGCGCTCCGCAAGGAGAAGCGGCAGGCGCCGTGCCTCGCCGCGCCGCGCTCCTTCCCCATGCGCCGCCCCGCGCCCCGCGGAGCAGGGGGCGCCCCGCCGCGCCGCGCCGCCGCACGTGTCAGCGGCCCGCACCGCCCCGCCGCCGCGGGGGGAGCGCCGCGCCCGCCCCTCTCGCTGCACCATTCATGCCCCCGCCGGGCCCCGCGCCCTACATCGCCCGGTGCCCGGCCCTTGGCGCCCGGGAGCGTGGCACCGCCGCGCTTCTCGCCCAGCCGAGAGCGCTGCCGCCGGGCCGTCCGCCGCGCCCGTGGGTTCCGCTGACCGTCGTGCCCCGGTCCGTACACCGACACCGCTCCACACCGGCCCGCCCGCGCACACTGCCGCTCCCCCGGCCCCGACGCTGAAATTTTATACCTCCCTCCCATGACGTCCCCGGGACGGGGCTCGGGCGGGGGAGGGAGCTCCAAGCCCGGCCTTCGGCCGCGCCAGCCCCGCGCTAATGGCTCCAGCAGCCGCGCAGCCCCCGCCGCTCCCCCCATCTCCCCACCCTCCGCCGCCCCCCGCGCTCGCCGGGGCCGCCTCGCCCCGCGCACCCCGGGCCCCTCGGCGCGGGGCGGCCCCGCGCGCCCTCCGACGTGGCCGCCGCACCGCCCCGGCGGCGGCGCGCTGGCGCCCCCTGCTGGCGGCACTCGCGCGGCGGCGGGCGGGCCCTTCGCGGTGGTCCGGGCGGCGCGGGGAGGCCCCTCCCGCTTCCAGCTGCGAAATCGCATTAAAAGCCGCTAAAAATACCCCGAATACTTTCCTGATGTGGTTTCTTTCCGAGGGAGGGAGGGGCCGAGCGGCGGGGTTCAGCCGCCGCGCTGCGGACGGGGGGCTGCGGCGGGACTGGCGGCAGGGTCAGGGCGATGCCCCTGGGCCCTGAAAGCAGGTGGCAGACGGAGCTCCGGGGGGTGTCCGGTCACGGCGGCCCTCGCTGCGGTGAAGGGGCTGCGTCGGGCATCCGACAGGCGGGAGACAAAGCACCGGCCGTGCACGGGGTTGTAATTCACAACCCGGGCCCATTCGGGTCTCTCTCCCGGGGCGTGCCCTCACTACGGCCACACCGGCCTCCCGCCTCAGTGCCGCGGGCTGGGCCGGAGAGACCAGAGAGGAGTCTCTTCTCTTGGCATTACGTGGACCCTGCCCCCAGCCCCCAGCCCTTCTCCCGGAGCCAGCAGAGGGGCAGCCCCTGAGCCAGCGGCTTTGTGCCTCCCCAACCCGTGGCAGCCGCTAGCAGCACTGGCAGCGCTGCCGAAGGACAACCGCTGGGTTGGCGGTGCGTTAGAAAAGTGGGGCAGGGACAGCTCCTGCGAGGCTGTGAGCAAAGTGGGATGTGGGCAGAACTCTCTGTGGAAGCAAGTCCTCTTGCATAAAGCAAGATCTTTATGCTCTGGGAGAGATGGGGCCCCGGTGGCATGTGGCCCCTTGGAGCGGTGGTGTCCAGGAACAGCAGGCAACACTGCAGCTGGAAACATTGGGCATAGCTGCGGGGAGCCTTCCCTTACCTGCATGTTCGCGGGCCTTGGGCTGGGAGAGCACTGCAAGCTCAGAGGACAGTGGCTAACCCAAGACATGGAATGTGGAACAGGAAATCCACAGGCAGCTGGGGGTGCTGGATGCCCTGTGAGCCGTTTTGTGCAGCTCTGAGGAGATGTAAGGGTGAGCTGCTCACTGTTTGCTTGTGCTTTGCTTGGGGAAGAGGAATTAAGAGTTCTTTGATGGAGTGACAAAGATGTAACAAGATCTAGTAGCTTCAGGATGATGTCAGGCAAATTTTGACATGAAGTAAGATGCAAATTCTGACTGTTGACATTAAGTATCCATGGAATATTATGTAGGTTGGGATGGATGTTTCTAGAGCTCCCCAGACACTTCTGAAATGAATTTTGGATGCTTTTCTACACTGGGATCTCCTCTACCCTGCTGCCAGGTTGGAGGTCCCACTAAATGCAGTCAAATTGATTGCTTTGGACTCCACTAATCCATTTGCTACAGTGCCACATGGTGAGTTATTAGTTGAGATGGAGATAAGTACAGAAATTATAAGAAATTACGAGAGTTTCCCAGAGGCTTGTCCTGGGCCCAGGTTTTATTAATTATCTTGGCATGCCAAAATGGATGTGCTAATCAAATTGGCTGCTTATCCAAAACTGGAGGCATTGTCAATATAGGGGAGGACTGGGATATCCTATACAAGGAGGTAGGATAATTTGAAGGGGGTAGCAATTTTGAAGGCTAATACAGGAGAAATGGGATGAAATACAATAGTACAAAATGCAAGGTTATATTGCTAATGGCTGAGATCAGACTTTTTTGTTACAAGCTGACAGCGGGAGCTTGCTGCTTGGAAATAATATAGGAGAAGGATGTAGGTGTCCTGCTGGTTCCAGTACTGGGCCACTCACTTTCTGCTCCAAGTGTTGGTTTGTGAGTTGACAAGAGGTGAGGAAGCCCCATGGTCTGACATGCACTGGAAGCAATGCTGGTGGCTGTGAGCAGCAGTCATTAACAGGTTGCACATCTTGTGCATGCTGTAATCCAGCTAGGCTGAGGGAGAGCCTGACAGGGCTACTGAACATGTATCATAGGAAATATTTCACACTTGGCAACTCTGGCTGGGGTTTGACAGTCTGAGCTGGAGCTGATGTAACATGAATAGCATCTGTTCTCATGGCGATCAAGACAGGCAAATGTGTGGCCTTTGCTGCCTGTCAAAGCTGTTTCCACCTTCCAGAGGGAGGGATGTCTTGCTTGAAGCTTTTCAATTGTTAGGGGATTTTGTTCTGGAGCCTACAGAAATAAAAATATTTGCAGTTGTTTCCCTCCTCCAAAACCCCTTAGAGATTGGGAGGTGCGTGGAGGAAAAAAAACCTGCAGAAAAATTAAACTGAGATGCTTGGAGCTGCCAGCATGGGGCTAGTGTGGAGCAGGATACAGCAGCAGTCTTTGCCGAGTGCTTCACTTCCCAGTGGAAGCCTAATGTTTTAATTAATTGGCCCATATCAAAATTGTGAGTCTGGCTGCCTGCCTGATGTGAAGATTGGGTGAGGAAGAAAGCACTGTGCTGTGTCACTTGTTGCTACTGGAATTGCCCTGCATCCCATAAATCCTACTGCTGTCAAAGACCTGCTTTAGAAAACCTTTGGCCACTCTGAAAAAGGTGGACATTGTGCAGCCATGTGGGCTTTCCACCATAGCTGTAGCTTTAACTACATGTGTGTGCCCTTGCTTTAAAGGGGGTCTAGGACCAGAAGCATATGGCAGGGCTCAAGTGTGATTGCTTTCCCAGACTTTCTCATGGATAGGAGGACCAGACACAAGCTCTATTCATATGTCTGCCAGTCAAGGAGAAATCAACAGTAAACAGCACTAGTAGGGGACTCTGTTAGTCCTATTCTGTGTGATTAGGTTTGTGTTGAAACCAGATGGAGGGAATCTGTGCTTAGATGTGAGAACTTGTCCGTGAAAGGAATGCTTGTGTGGTTCTCACTTGCTGTTCAGCTTAGAGGGGGTGGCAGCAGTGTGATTTACAGTGAGGGCAGAACCAAACAAGTAAGGCAGAGTGAGAGCTGAGAATACACCTGAAACTGTACACTGGGAAAGAGAAACCCTGGCACCGCAGACCTGAACTGGACAGAAAGCAAGCACTGAAAACAGCTTTGGACAACCACAGCAGCACCAAACCTGGTACCTGGCTCAGTTGGTTAAGTGGAGCCAATGTAGGGCAAGGGTCAAATACTGCCTGTGGAGTCACCAGTAAGACAGAGGAGAATGAAACTGTTCAGAAAATGTAACCCCAACACTTAAAGCAAGCAAAATCCACTTTGGCCACAACATGAAATGATGGATGAAAACTCTTTTGCTCCTGTTGTCCTCCCCAAGCAGGCAAAACTTTTAGGGGTAGGTGACAAACCCCATTCCAATAAGTGGAATTCAGAGGGACTAGAGGTAGGACAGATTTTAGGTTTTGTTCTTTCTGCACATCTGCTCCTCTCTCTCATTGAGAATCTCTGAAGTTAGGAGTCAAAATTCTGAGGCAAGGCTCAGTTCCCCAAGTCTTTACATGTTTTCTTTCCTGCACATGGACTTCACCCTCCCTCAACTGGCCTGAGACTTCTCTCCCTGGGGTAGGCAGCAAGCAGCACAGAGTAGCTTGGGGGAAAATGGGAAGTACAGGTATACTGGCTGGGATGGGGACCCAGGGAAATTGTGAAGAGAAGCTTGGAGGGGGAGGGCAGTTCTACACAAGTAAATGCACTGCTGCTTCCTGATCTGTCTGTCCAGGATGGCACCTTGTATGGCTCTACCCTGGCTCTGGGAGGATCACCCTGCCAGTGACCTGTGTGGGAGCACAGCTGGCAATGTATTCCTACCCAAGGATTCCTGCCCCAGGGATGCCTTCCTGTTTTAGCAGGCATTACTCTGGATGCTATCATGCTCCTCTTGGGATGCTCTTTTTCTGATCAGAAGGTCAGCTGTAAGTGTATTGTAACCCCAGAGCTACAGTCCCATCTGTCTCCTGGCATCTGTGTAGCTGTGTTGCTGCAGCAGCTGTTTGGAGGAGCTGGGGAGAATTGAGAAATGCAGGGCCATATTCCCATGGGCTTGGTGGTGAAGCATGGAGCTAGGTGCAAACTCCTTCTCTACCTCATGAATGCTTGAATCTGGAATTAAAAGAGAAGAACAAAGTGTATGGAAGATCATAATTTCATAAAGCCCAGTGAGCCTGGCTTCAAAAAAGGAAAATCATGTCTCACTTACTGAATTCCTTGAACATGTCAAGATTTGTAAAGGGAGATAATATCTTTTATTAGGCCAATTGATACAGCTGGAAAAAACACACAAGCTTTCAGGCACAGAAACCCTTATTTTATGTTTTCTTTTCCAGCTATATCAGTTGGTCTAATAAAAAGTTATAACCTCTGCCCACAAATCTTATTTCACTTAATCCTTAGATCATCACAGCACAAGTACTTCAACATGTCAGTAGGAATGGAAAAAAGGAGAATTATTTGATACTATTTATTTAGATGACCCTAAGTTCCTCAGCCAAAACATGAGCTTCTACAAAAGCCAAGCAGGTATAGAGTGAAATCTAGTGCCATTAGTAAAAGGTATTCCTAGGAGGCTTAAAAGTTTACTTAGAGAGTCAATTTTCATCATGGCAAAGTGTTAGCAGTGTAGTTTGTGGTGTTGTACAGTTCTCTATTGTAGCAGCAGAAGAAATTATTTAGGCTAATGAGGATAGGTGAAAATTGTGAGGAATGTGAGATAGGAGAAAAAAATATAGGCAAAGGGACAAAGTACTGGAAAACTGAATGTTTGTTAAACATGTGGAGCTAAAACCAGATTTATTTACAATTAATCTGTACATCTGTCCAGCCAAGAAACAGACTGGGGTCGTTTTATACAGCTCAGTGGAAATCTCTGCACAACTCACTTGTGAGAAGCATGTGTGCAATGGTCGCTGTGCTTACATTTGATCCTTGGCACCGCCTCCACCGTGGGCTCTGGGGACCGGCTGCCCCATCTGGAAAGCTGTGTTAAGAGAGTCAGGGAGAATTGGGAAGAACATCAGGAGCCATCAGGAGACTTTGGCTAAAGCCTCTATCATGAGACAGATGTGTAAGGCTAGGATTTATTTGCCTTAGTGGGAACTTAAAAAGTGTCTTCGGCAAAAAGCTGGAGAAGGCAGAGCGTCAGACTGTTCCTGGCCTGCCGCACCGCAAGTGGAACTAGAAAGGGCTAACAGAGTACCCGCATGAGATGCTGCAGCACAGGTGTCCCCCTCAGTCAGGCCAAGGTTTTACAGTGCTGCGGGGGTGGATGTCTCTGTGGCTGCCAGGCGCCGGGTGCTCGGCCCAGCCCGCGGGGCCGGGTGGCCGGGCGGTGCGGGGCTGCCGGCGGGGCCGTGCCCGCGGTTGCCGGGGCGGCGGGGCGGGCTGTCCGCCGGAAGCACCGGCGGCCGCGGCGGCGGATGGAGGCTGAGCCGGAGCGAGCGGAGGCGCCGCGGAGGGGCGGCGTCGCCGGGGTGAGCGGGCCCGGGGCCGGGGCGGGCCCAGCCTCTCCGAGCGCGGCCCCGGGGCCTTGGACCGCGGCCCGGAGGGGGCGCGGGGCCGGCGGCACGGCTGCCGTGGGGCACCGTGCAGCGGAAGGGCCGGGCCGGGCCGGGCCGAGCGGCCGGCGGTGGGGCCGAGCAGCGCGGCTGGGCGGGCCGGGAGGGGCGGCGGGGCTCACACCTGCGGCGGGCGATGCCTCTGCGCTGTGAGGGCACCGCGCCTCGCTGCGGGGCGGGGCGCGGCGGCAGGGCCGTGCCTGGCGTTCCGCTCCCTGCCACGAATCGGCTCTTGTCAGTAACTGTGTGTCCTCTACTCCTTCGTGTTTCCCCCTGCACTACAGGTACTAAAGATGGGCCGTCGAGCCCGCCAGGACCTCTTTGCAGGTGAAAAACTCAGCACGAAGAATTCCCCGTCTGCTTCTCTTGGAGAGGTGGGTGTCCTGCCAGAAGGGCTTATCTGTTGTCCTGCTGTTGTTTCCAGTGGAGAATTATTAATTTCTTCTGAAATTCCTTCCTGCATGGTGTGCTTTGCCCTTTGAATTTTGTCCTTAATTTGGGACTCATGTCACTGCCCTGTCCCTTTCCTGGTGTTGCCCTTTGTATAAGAGTTTCCACACAGGAAACTATTGGACTATGGTTTCTTACATGTCAGGTATGGAGAGTAGTATCATACAGGACTTGGGGCCTCTCCATTCTGTGCATACATATCTTCCTGATATTTTAATCTCTAGATTTAAAATGTGGACAGGCACATACTTTTGTGACCAGTTTTGCCACCATCTACGGTAGCAAGGCAGATAAATAGATGCCTTACTTTTGTGCTTTGCTTTGCTAGAGCCAGAGTACGTGACATGGTCTCTATCAAGTTTGTGTAGTAATGCTCTTTTTCATTTTCTCTGTGCACGGCTACAAAGGTCGTGCTAGGAGCCAGCTTTGCAGCATCTGAGACTTTTCCTTGTGGGTAATAATGTGCAAACTCAGCTCCCACTTGTCTTTGGAGGAAAATTTTGGTTCAGAGGCTGTTCTATTAGTACATCTTCAAATGGTAGAAGGGGGTCAGGAACCCCTCTTTCTCAGGAGAGTGAGGCAACATCCTCAAGTATTCAGAAATAGATCTGAACTGTTTCAATGGATTTTTTTGCTTAGTGTTGCAGAATGCTGAAATTCTTCCTGGAAGCTTGCTGTTGGATGTTAACACAGCTCCTCCACAGACACCTCCTGCTAGAAGGAGCAGCTCTCAAGAAATGACATACCAGTTTTGCTCCCTGACACATATCAGATGGAAAAAATGTCATCTGACTTCCACCTTGTCGACAGCGATATTTGTTTAAATGAGGTGATGCTTACTGTTTTGCAATGCCAGTCAATGGTCTCCAGCATACCATATTCCTGGCTTCTTTAAACTGGAAATCATTTTGCCCTACTGGCCACCCTGGCACCAACTCTGCTTCAGGCTACTCTGCTCAGAGCCTTAGGACCTTCTGTCTTGGAGTGACTACTCCCTGATTCCCTGTGCAGTGACAAAACTTTCGTATTACACCGAGTAGCTGTGTCCCAGACAACTGTGCCAAAATGATTGTGGGGGGATTTTTCCTTTGAGACCCTGTGATGCTGTTGAAAATAGCACTATTACAGCTTAGCTTACAATAACACCTCATAGAGCAGACTTTTTTTCTGGAGAAAGTATGCGCTTTTCTTTTGGTAGGCATAATGGAGAATCATCTTCCACCTAGGGAATCTTCCCTTGGATATGCTGTAGGCATTCAGGATGGATTCTGTGAGGGAATGTGCAGAAGATGCAATTTAAGAAATAGAAGTACCCATCGACCTCATAGGTAAAGAAAGTCTTAGGGGAACCAGCTGATGGTTTAAGGGGGTGTAATCATCAGCTGGCCTCCACATTAGGGTGGCTCACTGTCAGATTGTTCTCTTGTGGTTCTCTTGCTGGAACTGGCCATCCTAGTTCATGGTCTGATTCTCTGGTTTTAAAGAGACCAGGGCACTATGTAGAGGTACAGCTGATGGACTGTAACTTACTGCAGTTTGCTTGGGCTTACTGCTCACATCACAACCATTTCAATAGCTGGGAAAAGATCACAGGGGCTCCAGGACTTGGGCCAGTCCTGAGGAAGACTAAGAAATATTTACAGTGTTCTGTTTGAGAGCAGTGAGCTTTTCAGCAGCAGAAGGGTGAGGACTTACATGTCTTACAAGATTCAAATATGTTAGCACTGGATCTTAACCACCAGGAAGAATAGTTTGTGTCAATAGTCTCCCTTCAGACAGGTCTTTGTTGCTAAATGTTTGTGTTAATCAAGAACCTTGGAGGTACTGGAAGAAAGACAAAATCCACTGTAAATAATCCTCAGCCTTTTCCTTTCCTCCAAAATTGGAGGCTTTTTATACGTGACCAGACCACATTTGTTACCAAAGTGAGTATTTAACAGAACTAATATTGTTTTTTCCTTCACCCTAGATTGGCAATCCACTTTTACTTTTCTGAAAGCTTGGCCTTGGCTTGCTTTTAAGTGGTGGGGTTACAATGGATGTCTCATTCAGCCCATTTTGAAACCTTTATAAGAAATATTCCTAAAAGAAATGCAAGATTAAAAAAAAACCAAACCCAGTCCTTTTTTTTTTCTGGAACTGGCAGTAGTGGATTAGGCACTATGTAATTAATTTTAGCATAGAAGGTTTTATTCTTATTACTGATTTTGAAGGCAAAGGGGTTTGTCTTAAACCTTTGCCATATTCACACCCTCATATGCATTTCACATTCAGATTAGTGATTTTGCCTTCAGAGCTTCCTCAGAGTTTTAAAACTGGTTTAATTCACCTTGACTCATTTTAATTCTTTTTAAAATTCCATGCCAATCCAACCAGTTTCCACCCATCTCAAATTTCTGGTTTGAACATACCATTTGTGCTATTGTTCGGGTCTTTTCATGACACTGAGAAGCATCCAGGAAGTGTTTTCCAGTCAGAGCAGCTTGAAGGAAGCTTGAAGGAAGCAAAAGGTACCTGTCTATCCATGTTTCAACATCTGGGCTTATTACAAGGAAATTCACTTAGAGGGTGGACAATTATTGTAATTAAAAAGATCTTTGTTTTGAAGTCAACAGGCAAATCACCTGACTTGGAGCATAGATCTTATCAGTTTACTGCTGATCTCTGCTTGGCCTGGGCTCTCTCTCCCAAAAGACAGTGCAAACTGTGTGTTGCTGTATACAACAAATGTGTGTTAAAACCTCCTTCCCCAGGGCGTTGTTGCAATGTCTTATGCCTTGTAGCCTAATCTACTTCCCCCAAGCTCTATGAAAACACTATGATATCTTAGTATTTTTTCAGTACCTGTTGTGTGTATGTCTCTCCCACAAGAATATTCTTAACTACAGCAGCAAATCTCTAATTCCTCTGCCCAAATCTCTACTTCATAATTCCCATTCTGTGTGGAAGTACCTGCATTATCATCAAATGTAGACCTCCTCAAGGGGCTCATGAAAGGTCACAAAGCTCAGACTCTGCCCATGTGACATTGTTTTGCGTACAGATTTCTTACAGGACAGCAAATAGCTCACTCTTGTTGAGAGAAGAAACAGGAAAGGAAAAATCTGCTGATTTTTCAGCATTCCTGCCTTTTCAGAAGTACAAGTACTAACAAACAACACTGCAGCTATGTGTTATTTCACCAGGCAAGATGGAACATGATTATTTGCTGTAATTGGTGCAGTTGGCAGCCTCCTGCAGCAAAGGCTGTGTGCGTTCCTGCCCTCCGAGCTCCTTGGCAATTCAGCAGGCACTTCTTGGGCACCCAGGGGAATATGCTGTAAGTGGGAATTCCTAGAGATAAATCTGCTTGCTGCATGCCAGAACAACACATTTCAAACATTCATTTCAAAGGGGTAATGTATCTCTTTTTCCATTGAGAGGCCTTTCCCATCCCCTGGCTTGATGTGGTACATTTACTCATCTTGATGCTATCAGGTTTCTGACAGTATGGGAGAAAGTCAAGCTAGTTATTTTATTTGTATAATGAGATGGACAGATCATGCAATGAGATCTGTTGAAGATCTTTTCTATCCCATCCTAACAGGACTTCTGGACACTTTTACAGAATTAAAATCAAACCTTTTTCCTGGCTCTAACATCACTGCATCCAACAGCCTTCTGAATGCTGGCTTGATGACATCCATCAGAAGAAGTTGTTTGGCCACGTTTGGAGCTCTTGATGAGATTGATTTGGAAAGCTGAGTGGAAAAGCCTTTTAAAAAAATGTATCAGCAGATTTTTCCTTTCCTGTTTCTTCTCTCAACAAGAGTGAGCTATTTGCTGTCCTGTAAGAAATCTGTACGCAAAACAATTTTAATGTTATCCTACTTCCACGGTCTATTTTCTCTTTATCCTACAGTGATGTGATTCCATGGGACCTTGCTCAAGAGTTCCCTGGTTTCTGCCTCTTGCAGTCTCAGTATGATTTTGCCAGCATGTCTCTGGCAGCACTCTGTAGATCCTTTGAATGGAGACTGCTTTACTAGGCAATGGTCAGCCTAAAGGATGAAGGTTTTCCCTATTTTCAAAATATTCCCACACAGGTAGGACAAAATTACTTTATATCAGGGTTTGCCCAAAAATCAAGTTCTCTGCTGGTTGTCTCTGTCACATTTCACCACAGCCTGGGGAAAGGCTCTGTGGTTTCTCTTCTGAAAATATGTTCTCTTGTTGTCCTAGCTGGTATTTGTAAGCTTGCTTATTTAATTGTGGTCCTTGGGTGGTAGTTAGAAAGCAAGTAATAATTGCTGAGGGTGAAACACACGTGAAAAATTGCTCCAAGAAGTGATTATTTAAATACTTTTCCAACATGTGCTGCCCAGCTGGATTTTCTTCCATGCTAGTGCAAGTCTTGTACCACTTGGGCTCTGTACATCCAGAGAAGCTTAGGTCATGTTGGACCCCACAGAAGCCTTTCTGATTTTGGCTGTGGGAAGAAGCAGGCTGACAGATGCATGCTTCCAACAGATTTTTACCAGTTGGGCAAACCTGATTTCATTTGTGCTGCTCATTGGTAAGGACACCTTTGTACCCCAGCTGCTCTAACCTGCATGTAGCCCCCCTCTGCTCTTACTGTAGTAAGATGATAAGACCAGATGACAGCAAAGACACAAAATGAACTCAGATACCAAACCACTTCCACGAGAGATACGTGCAATTTATTAATCACATGGATTCCATGTTCCACAGGAGAGATGATTTAATCCAGAACAAAAGTCAGGTGGGTTAGTGGAGTGTTTCCAGCCATCCTATGCATACTCCTGGTGTAGGGTCATAGGTCAATCTAGGATATTCTAAATTCTCCTCCTGAGTACTTCTGAACACTGTGATTTCTAGAATAGCACAGAGATTATTGGATTCTTGATTACCTCTTTGCATTTGG